TATTTTGAGAGGAGATAATGTTTCTTAACCCATTTAATTATATTGGATATTTTTATACCATCTTGATTATATTATGTATTATTTATAAAAAATTATGATATATTTCACAATTATTCTTATGTAATTAATTTCCTTACTTTACCTGTGCCATATACATACTAAAGATATGTTTTTCATTGATACTGGAAGATTGCTTGAGAAGAGCAATTTATTTAGTAATTCACTAGACTTTGTTTTGATATCAGTTTTATTGCATTAATTTTTCTTTCAGAACACAACATAATTTTGTTTAACCATCGGCTGTTTACATGCTTCTAAGAATTTATTTGCTATTGAAATCTTACTTTTTACTAACATTTTTGAAAAAAAAAAATTTATCTTTTTCATAGCAGTCTTTCAACAACCTTTACAAAAAGTTGTCACGCGTCTCAATACAGACCCTAAATCAGAATTTCATCAAAGCTTCATGCATGCTTATCTTCATTTTTTAAAAGTTTTTGAATTTTGATTTTAATTTTTTTTTTAATGAATAGAAGCTCTTAATCTAATTTAAAATATTATTAGCAAGTGAGTCTTAGCTATGAAAGAAGCTGAAATGATCTATATGTAAAAAATAAAATAAATATTATTGCACATATATACACTATATACATGTTACAAACATTCACACATCACAAAATGAGTCATAACAAATATGACAAGTTCCATCATCCTTTGTGGAGCCTAATGTCTGGTTTTAAAGAGGACGCACAAAAAAATTATACTTAATGCTACTACAAAGAAATGAATAATGAGTAAAAATATTTACAATGATAGAGAGAGTATGTAATATCTTAATTTTATATAAATATTTATACACACTCATAAAAGAAATTACAAAAGATGTTAATATTCTTATGAGAAATATTAAAAAATGAAAAAAAATAAGAGGATTTGACTTGGGCTTCATTTGAAACGGATTTCTTAATATTTTCTAAAATTATTGTAGAAAATAAATTTTTAAATTTATTATTAAAAAACATATTCCTTGCACCTAATTTTTTTTTTTTTTTTAAAGACAAATAATAATTGTGGTTGGGATAAAAAAAGCGAAGCAGTATGTAAATGATTGAACTAATATATATTGTTGATTATAAATGATGTCCCTTCTTGTGATTAGGGAATGTATTAATACGATGTATTAGACCTAAACTATAGAGAAATGATCCAATTGTGGGAGTTGTGAAGAGTTTTGAAGCCTTAAATTGTTTTTAAGACGTCTTTTGTCATATATTAGATGGTTCTGCCTCTAGGAAAGGAGATCAAATATAAAATGTTCAATATATTATTAATGTTGATACTACGACATAAGGTTAGATTTGATGGCATAACTTAACCTTATAAGTAATTGCATGCATTAAGAATAGATGTTGGAGGTGACAATGGGCAATGAAGTCAGCGGGAGTCAATATTAATTGTTTGTTGATAATAATTAGGAGACTAGAGCCTCTTAATTATGTACGCTCTCCAGACTTTTTAATGTCTTTAAACATATTCCTAAGATGACTAGAGTCTCTTTTTCAAAATTAATTATGATCCTCACACTATGCTTAAGCAACCATCTAAAATTTTTATGTACAATATTATCATAATGAATAATATTAATATAATAATAAGAATAAATGTTAAGTAATGTCAAAATAATGTACTTGAAATTCTCTGATTTATATATCCCTAACTTTTTTTAGAATTTTCTTTTAAGATATATAAGAAGCATCATATTTGCTCCGTATTATGTTTAGTGTGAATTTCCATCATATATGAATTACTTATCAGCGCCAGGCAATTCGGCGGAAAAAAAATGTTAGGAGGTTTAGTAGTAGGTCGAATTTTTCCACCGGACATTCCGGCAGCCGCCGGTATTGAGCGGCAGCTTTTCCGCCGGTAATGCCGCCAGAATAAATCCGACGAAAAAATTCTGCCAAAAATTCATTAGCTTTTGAATGATTTTCCAATAGCAAATTTCGAGTGTAAAAAAAGCCTCTAAAATAATTGAGAAATTTAACTCAATATCTTTCATAATGGCTTTATTTGAATAAATATCCCCTATATCTTTATTTGAGTAAATGTGCCCCAAAGTATTTTTTTTAGTTCAAAAAATTTTCAATTAAAAATAATTTGTTATATTTATTACTTGTTTATTAAAATCTAAGGAGACAGCCACACTGATTGACCAAGGGAGAGCGATCTCCGTCGAACAATTATTACGTCCTCCGACCGGACGTAGAGGAACGTCCGGTCGGAGGCAAATTCCCGTCAAATACCGAGTTGTACCGAGTAAACACCGAGCAATATCAAATAATAACGAGCAATAACATCATATGAAGACCCAATACCGAGTTATTTCGAGCTATCTTAAGCAATACCGAGTTATACAAAAGTTGTACCGAGTTTTACAACTCGGTATTTCTCGATATAGCTCGGTATAACTGGGTATTGATCTTCAAAAAGCGGTATTCATCGTTATTATCAAATAATACCTAGTTGTACCGAGAAAATACGAGTTTTTTGACGAAAATTTGGCTCCGACCGGACGTTCCTCTACGTCCTTGCACCGGATGTAATAAAAGTTCCCGTCCCAAAGCGCCTCAGCGGCATGAGCGATCTTGCGGATTGTCACCGGCGGCATGGGCGGCTTCTTTGAGGACGCGGTAGCTGTTTTAAAAACAGACGCGAATGTAGAGGCGGTCGGCGGACGAGCGGCTTCATCGCCGTCGACCTTGTCGCCGCTAGCAACGTACAAGCTACGACGTCCAAGCAGTTTTGCGTCCCGACGAGCGGGTCGGCGGTGGCGCCTTCAATGGAGCGATGAGGAAGCGGTGAAAGGGACGGTGACGACCTTTGTCACCAAGACATGTTCTTCTCCCTCATTAATGCAAATACAGAGTAATGATCTCACAATCTGTCAGATACTTTTCTAACCACGACAATAATTGGCTAATACTGTTCAGTACTAATCATTACACAAAAAAAAAAGAGCTAAACTAGTCGAAAAATCTTCCAATAATCTGATAGAAGTTGATGCAAAAACATTAAAAATTCCATTTTGTCCTTCGCATCCTTTATTGGTCAAAAGCAAAGCCGCTTATTAACTCTATGGGACAATTTTTTTACAGTTAAGAATCATTTTTTTTAAACGGTGAAAGAACTATCCCTACAAAAAAAAAGAAATATTCATTAGAATCATGAATTTGATGTATGCTCAACTATTTTTTATTGCTGTGTGATTTTTCTTTATCATGAGCGAGAGAGTTAAAATGTGCATATGGGTAAGTGGGAAGCATGTTCTTAAATGCTCGAAAATGAAACATTTGTTTGGATGTGGTCAACTTCAGCCTACTTTATTTCATTTGTTTCATTTTACGTATTTCTGACATGATCTTGCACTGATATCAAAGGTGCGTCAAATTTTAGCCAAGCAAAGTAGGTAGTCTTATGCGACCATGAAATCTACTTGATTGTTTGATCTTGATCGAGCATAATATATAGTGATGTGGAGGCCATAGTCAATTGATTAATACTTCTAAAAGAGTACATAAATCATGTTCCATACCACCATGCCAACTTGATTCTAGGAGACTAACCACTTAAACGAACCAAGCTAATTAGCGCTAATGAGACACTATTGCTTTCACTATACTATTCTTGGGCGAGTTGTATTCATTAATCATATTTCTCCATGAAATTTATTTTGCTTTTACTTACCAACAAACTAAATGTCATTCAATTCTTCATATAATCAAATTCCTAATTCTTTATGGCATTATCATCAATAATTATCTTTCATTGACAAATTCTTGTGAGTTTATTAATTGCACCATTATTCAGCCCATCAAAATGAGAAAAAAAAAAACTCTTAAATCAAAGACTTTTACTTAGCCTACAAAGAAAAAGACTTCCAAACCCATATATATATATATAAGCTATTACTCTATATTTATAGTAGATAGCCCAGTTGCAGTGAGCTGTATTTGAATTGCAAGCCTTAGATTTGGCTACAACTATATGCATTTAAAACAAAATAAATAAGGACAAGAGTCCTAAGAGCAACTTGACACTAAAAAAATATTTTTCAGTATTCAAATCTATCCATCAACGAACGAAGATCCGTTTCCAAAATTCCCCACCCATTATATTACACATTATAACATTCTGATATCTGAAGTTATAAACTTGAGGCCTTGTTTTTACCTCAAAATTCCAAAAATATTTGTTGATGATATCTAAATGAGCCAAAACTGTTGGGTCCCTTCTTATTAACTGCTTTCTTCTGCTGATAAACTGTTTCAGCGAACTATTTGTAACTTCTTGTGTGTTGGTTTTAGCACAGAAAACTAAGGCTTAATATAATGCCAAAATGGTTTGTTGAAGCCTATCTATCCATCAATGTACTATGTACCACTGTTCTATTCTTGGTTCCCTCTTCCTTTCACCCAATGCAACTTGTTGCATGTCTCTTACAATAATTTAAATATAGATGCATCTCTGCACTTATTAGGTGAATGTTTTTAATGAATATCTTTGTTCATTGTTCTTTGTTCTTTGTGTTTTTTTTTTTGGATTGTTTTATATGGATTTAAAAATACTGGCGTAGTTTATGTAAAAAAATAAGACAAAATAGGTAAGTACCCTCCAAATATTAAGAAAAAATTTTTAAGAACTGCAAGAAGTTTATATATATTAACCTACTTTTATCCAACTGGATTTAGCTGCCTAAAAACCGCCGGAAATTTCCAGCGGACAAAAAAGCCGTTGGATTGTGTTTCCTATGCGATTTGTACTTGCGGAAAATACTCTGCTAGAAATTAAGTCACTGAAAAACTAGATTTTCGTCCATAAAATACATTTTTCCGCCGGCAACGACCGAGTTTTCTGTAATGAGATAAGTATAACATAAATATTATATGTTCATATTTGACTGATAACTAACAAATGAACTAAAAAAATAAGTTGTTTTGAACATCAATCCGTTTGAATGCTCCTACTTGCAATACTCTTAATTCCTCATTCTCTTCTCATCATGCCCTCTCTCCCCAACCCCTCTGTCTCTCCTTATAAGTAAATGAAGATATGTAGGTGCTTTCATGGATAAAAATTTGAATGAAATCTCAAGGCTTCAAACCCTTCCATCAATTTCATTTGAGCATTCTGCAGCTTGTAGGTAAGGTATTAACAACTGGATTTGGACAGATGGAGCCACTTTGAAGCCAGTAGTGAAAGTGCCGTTTTAAATTCCCTTAGTTCCATGGAAACTATATATATCCAGATACTGCTGAATTTACAGACAATCGAAGGTGGTTCTGAAGCTTAATCCACCACTTATTTCCTCCCACTGTAGTTTACTCGAAGTTGGCAGCAGGAAGCATGGATTTCTGCAGAAAAAAACAAAACAGGTACAGGCCTTCTCCCCTCTTTCTAACTAAATTATACTATACGACTGTACATATTTGGCTACCCCTTTAACAAGTTCATATGCCACCCATATGCTCAACTCCCTATTAAAAAAACAATACCATCTTCCCCTTTTCACCCTTTTTATAAAAGGAACCAATAAGCATACAATTATCTCTTAGCTAGGACCATCTGATCCTTCATCCTATTTATATATATGCTTGTATATATATATTAATAAACTTTCTCCTTGGGTAACCAAATGGACCTATATCCTTCATCATAGCTTCTTAAAGGTACAGGTCATTAATCTTTGTACAGAAGTAGCCATCTTAATTTTTCCTTCTTGAAATCGGCCACCTTCCTCATTCATGTCTTGGCTCATTTCCCCCAGCAGTACTCTTACTTAATACATTTCATGAAGTTTGGAATAGATTTTACCAAACTAAGAAGCCAGAGGTATGTTATTTCTTCACTCTGTGGTAATTTTAACTCATTAAATATCACATTTCATTCATTGAATGGTCCTAAATTAGTACTTCTTTTGTGATACAAGTTAGGTAAGGAGTCAAATAATTTAATTCAAAGGTTAATAGTTAAGCATAACTCTCTTAAATTTAAATTTTTTTCAGGGTAAATCATCACACAGACTTGTTCCTTATGGATAATTCCCGTTGGGATAACCAATCCATCATCAGAGATGAGATGATCAGTAACTTATCATGCATTTGGAGCCGACAATATGATAATTTCTCAGAACCAAACTGTGATTATTGTGTGGTAGGTGGCAAAGTTGAGATGATGATAAATGAAGCTTTGCTTAGCTCAAACTTAGATCTTCTCCATGGAAATCTTAATAACGAAGCTGCTGTAGATATTTTGCAGAATCAAGAAGCAATAAGCATTGATACTAATTCTATAGTAATTCCCAATTTAGTCAGTGAAGCAGTCATGAGAGAAACTCTATCAGCTTCTTATCAACTGTGCTCCCTCCCTCCCAGTTTTACTGATCACAATTTCACCAGTTCTGAAGAATTACAAGTCATCAGAGATACCTGCAATAATACTCCTTCTGGCACTGATTCAGATAACTATGCTTCGCACAGCTCTAATTCAAATCTAGAGCAGCCACCAAAAGAAAGGCTTAGCTACAAGAGGAAAAGAGAAGAACATTCCTCCAGCCTTCTCAACTCGAGCTCTTCGACTGCTGATGGTGGATTTCAAATTGTTTTCGGCGACGACCCAACGAAGTGCAAGAAGCTGAGATTTGAGATTGAAAAGTATGAGCCTGACACCGAGGCGATTGTTCAAGTGAAAGAGATGATTTACAGAGCTGCAGCTTTGCGGCCGGTGAGTCTCGAGCCGGAGGCGGCCGTCGCGAAGCCGAAGAGAAAGAATGTGAGGATATCGAGTGATCCGCAGACGGTGGCGGCGAGGCATAGAAGGGAGAGGATAAGTGAGAGGCTAAGGGTTTTACAGAAGCTTGTCCCTGGTGGAAGCAAGATGGATACTGCCTCCATGCTTGATGAGGCTGCAAATTATCTCAAGTTCTTGAAAGCTCAAGTCAGTGCTTTGGAGAAGCTTGGGAATAGTAACAGATCAGTTGATCATACCATGAAGAGTATGCTTAATTCCTTTCCAGTTACTTCCAGCTGTCAATCTTTCCCCATGCAAACTCTTTTCCCATAAAAAAAAAGATCACATTTTGATCCAGAGCTGAACATCCACCATGCAATGAAAGCACGACTTTTAAAGTAAAATGTATGGTGTGTGATCAGTTTATGACTAGTGAGGAGGACTTGAGAGTCATCATAGCTATGTATTTTAATTTGTTTAGGGCAAAAATCCAACCTTTTACCTAAAGGTGAGCCCTTTAGATTAATTTGAAAGTGCTTTTATCATTAGCTTTATTAGCTTTTAGACAAGAGATGTGAGTAAAAGTTTACTCCTTTATTTTAACCTCTCCATGACTTTTTTTTACTTGTTCATAAAAGAGGTACCATTATCATTCCTCCATGATTAGCTTTCCTCTCTTTACTCTCTTTCATTTCCATGAAAAGCTTATAAGGATCTTAATTATATGATCATAATTACCATTATGATTACTTCCTTTCTGCTAAAAGCTAGACTTTCATGCATATGGAGAGGGTGTTTAAGCATCATTACGCCTATGATTAAGGAGATTATGGCATGAGGAGTTTTGGGAGTGTTGAACAAAGAGAATTTGATTCTCTCTTTCTCTCCCATTCTCTTTTTCTTGAGCTGCGCGCCTTTAGGCTCAGCTTTCCATGCTCAAATTCTTGTTGTATTATCTCTTTCTTTCTTTGTTGAAGAGTGAAATGTTGGCAACAAAGAGAGTTCTCTTCGGAGAGACATTCTCTTTGGGGTCGTGCATGTGTGGCAGAGAGCACTGTCTCCTTCATTCTAGTCAAGCGTGCCCTTGAGAAGGCCACCATTGCTTTGGTTAGCACGTGCAGGATACCAATGGCCATGGATATATTCTTGATGGATCTTTCTCTCTCTCTCTCTCTCTCTCTCTCTCTCTCTCGACTTGCAAGGAGATTCTTGTTTCAACTCATGCATTGTGAAAAGGAGAGGAAAAGGAAAAAGAGAGAGAAAGGTGAGATTGTGGAATCAATTGCCAATGTGTTTTTCCTATGCAGCAATTTTTTTTTGTGTCAGAAGAGGACTGTCATTTGAGTTGGATTTTTTTTCCTTTCTTTATTAGGTTCATTCTCTTATGCAGTTGTTGTTTTATATTTTTGAGAGGAGAAATGTTTTTCTTACCCATTTAATTAATGGATATTTTTAACATCTTGATTATATTATGTATTATTATAAAATATGATATTATTTCACAATATTCTTATGTAATAAATTCCTACTTTACCTGGTATACAACATAAAGATATGTTTTCATGATTTGGAAGGTATTGCTTGAAAAGAGCAATATTTAGAATTCACTAAGGCTTCGTTTGAGCCAGTTTTATTGTAATTAATTTTCTTTTTAGAACACAAACATAATTTTTGTTTAACCACGGCTTGTTTACATGCTCTCAAGAATTTTGTTTGCTATGAAACTGTTTTTTACAACAATTTTTGAAAAAAAAAATTATCTTTTTCATAACAGCTTTTCAACAACCTTTACAAAAAGTTGCACGCGTCTCAAACAGGAACTTTTATTTGGTCCGGTGCAAGGACCTAGAGGAAGGTTCGGTTTTGCCTAAAAAAGTGCAAAAACCGAGTTTTTTGAAAAAATACCGAGTTTTTCAAAAAACTCGGTATTTGCACTTTTTGACCTATTTTTGCCTAAAACCGAACCTTCCTCTACATCCAGTGAAAGGACCTAATAATTGCTCCTCAAACAGACCCTAAATCAGAATTCATCAAGCTCATGCATGCTTATCTTTCATTTTTTAAAAGGTTTTGAATTTGATTTAAAATTTGAAAGAAGCACTAATCTAATTTAAAATATTTATTAGCAAGTGAGTCTTAGCTAGAAAGAAGCTGAAATGAGCTAATTGTAAAAAATAAAATAAAATATTATTGCACATATATACACTATATATATGTACAAACATTCACACACATAAATGCATACATATACAAAAGCAACAAACCGACAGAGGCTAGGCCGAGAAGTTTGGGCTACGAACTGGCAGGAGCCAAGTCGAAGAGCAACAAACAACTGAGAAGGAGCAGCGAAGTTGAAGTGAAAAGAAAGAACATAGAGGGAAGTCGAAGAACAGAGAAAATAGATGAACCAATTGGAGAATGAATCGGTTAGATATGGTCAGGTTGCAATGGATTTACGGAGGGAATATCCGCCACAAATTTGTGGCTGCAAATCTGTTGGAAAATTCACTAAACTTTCCTACAAAAATTTTCGCCGTAAATCCATCACCATTTTCTATGAAAATTATTCTACCAGAAAATCGGCCATAAATCTTTATTTTTCATGTAGTGGCTGTCACGGGCGCTTGCACCCACATGCCACATGATTGGCAAATGCTCTTGCATGCTAGATGCTATGCACACATGTGTTTGGACTTTTGATTCTTTTTTATCAAATCTATCTTTTTAGGTTTTTTTTTTCATTTTAAAATTCTTTAAAATAAAAGATTACTTGGTTTTTGGCTCTAAAAACTTTTAAAAAATTCAGAAAAAAATCCAGCAAAATATACAAATTTCTCTTTCCATCTTCTCAAGACTCGCCTTTCCATCCTCTCAAGATTTATCTTTTTGTCCTCTTCTAATTCATATAAAATCCATCATATATAGAGATCTTGAGACAGTCTACAATTTTTCTCCCTGGACTTTGGTTTTCCTCCAAGAAGGCGCTTGAAACTACCTTGCATAAGGCATGACTGATGCAGATCACGTTAACATTGGGAGTTAGGCGAGACACCTTATGTGTCTCTAACTGACTCTTGTGCCTCCACTACCCCATTGTTATTTCCGTTTTTACAGTACTTTATTACTTTTATTTCCAATATTTTTAGTTATAGCAATAGCCCACTATTAGCTACAGATACAAAAGATGATAGGAGGTTGTGAGACGTCTTCATTTGATGATTTAGAAATACACTAAGAAACCCTGAGGTTTCGGTATTCCAGAATTCTGTATTCTGTTTTTGTTTTGGTGCCACTCTGTTTTGTGTGATCTTGCAGGTGTGAAGAACCAGGCGGCTGCATTGGAGGCTAGAGGCTTCTCAACGGAGGTGTTGTGAATCTGGTGATTGAGCTGAAGGTTTTTCAACGGTGGTGTGGAGAACCTGGCAGCGGCGTTGGAGGCTTTGCAATAGCAGAGAACCTGGCAGTGGCACTGGAGGATTTGCAACAGCTGGTATCAGAGCTTGCACCTGGGACAAGATGACGGATCGTGGCAAAGAACCGATCTCCGATGACGCAAGGAGTCTGGAGACGTTGTGGGCAAACCAGGACAATGTCAATCGTCGGCTGGATGAACTGGCCGCCGATGTCCAACGATTAACAGTAGAGATGCGCCGTGAGTTTAATCTCCATCGGACGAGGCCACCACAGCAACTTCCGCAGAGGGAAGAACCTCCTGTAAATCGTCCGGCGAGGCGTAGGGGAGCGGCAGCGGGTCGTCAGTTACACTGCATTCCTATGAACAGACAAGAGTTGTCTAATTCCGAAGAAGACATGCAGATGTACCGAGTAAATGACTTAGTTGAGTCGGGAGAAGAAGAAGGAGGTAACCAATACCACCTAGACTATCATCGGCACCGACGGCCTGCACAATTACAGCATCAACCCGGTGAGTTCAAGGTTAAATTAGATATCCCGTTCTTTGACGTTCGCATGCATATAGAGGACTATTTGGACTGGGAAAGGGCCGTCGAAAATTTCTTTGAATACATGGAGATAGATCCGGAAAAACAGGTGAAATATGTTGTCTGTAGGCTGAAAGGTGGTGCGAGTGCTTGGTGGGCACAAATTCTTCAGATGAGGCAACGTGAGGGAAAAGGAAGAGTCCGGAGTTGGAACAGAATGAAGCAACTATTGCGAGCTCAATTTCTACCCACAGATTTTGAACAAATTATATATATGAGATATCAGCACTGTGTTCAAGGATTAAGGTCTGTGAGTGATTATAAAGAAGAGTTTAACCGTTTGACTGCGAGAAATAATCTCAATGAGTTAGCAAATCAATTGGTGGCACGCTACATTGGTGGGCTGAAAGATAGTATTCAAGACCGACTGGAGCTGAATTCAGTGTGGACGATGTCGCAGGTCGTGAACTTTGCTTTAAAAGCTGAAATGCAACAAAGTAGACAGCCCAAAACTCCATACAACAGACGACATTGGCAAGAACCACCCATGGCTAACAACAAGAATAACTCACCTGCAGCAAAACCTTCTCAAAGTACTAGTCCTATAGTTCCAACAAGTGCAGTCAAAGGCACTGAAGTCAGAAATTTCCCAAAACAGAGAACAACGAAAAAAGACAATCCATATGCCAAGCCGTCGACATTCAAATGCTTCCGTTGTTTCCAGCCCGGCCATAAATCAAATTAATGTCCACAGAGACAGCAAGTCCATTTGGCTGAATGTGAGGTAGAAGGAGAGTCAGTTGCCGCCGAATTAGAAAATGATTGTGAATCTGAAGACGTTCCCGCAGACGACGGAGAAGCATTGGTCTGTGTCTTAGAAAAATTGTTGTTAGCTCCCCGACAACAACTGAATTCTCAACGTCATGCTATTTTTAGAACTCGTTGTACCATAGCAGGCAAGGTATGCGATCTCTTAATAGATAGTGGATGCACAGAAAATGTGATCTCTCGGACGGTGGTTCAAAGCTTACAGTTAAAAACCAACAAACACCCTCATCCTTATAAAATAAGTTGGGTAAAGAAGGGCATGGAAATTATGGTTACAGAATCATGCCGAGTGTCCTTTTCTATTGGCAAACAATATGTGTGTGAGGTGCTTTGTGACGTATTAGAGATGGACGTGTGCCACCTAATATTGGGGAGGCCATGGCAATTCGATGTAGGTGCTATGTATGATTGTCGGACTAATATTTATTCCTTCGATTGGAAGGGTCGGCGCCTTCGATTGGAAGGGTCGGCGCCTCCGATTGTTACCCAGCTCAACTGAAATCAAGCCTCAAAGTTCAGGCCAAGTTAAACAAGCTGCCATGCATATAGTGACAGGTTCCATTTTGCTCAGATGTTGGCGGGAACCTGCACCCTTGTTTGCATTAATCATCACAGAACCAAGTCTTGAACTGCCCCAAAGGAAGGAACATGATGATATTCAAAAACTGCTACAGCACTATAAAGATATCACACAAGATGAGTTGCCAGACCAACTGCCACCACTCCGAGCTATTCAGCACCACATAGATCTCGTGCCAGGGGCTTCTCTACCAAACAAACCACATTACAGACTTAATCCCAAAGAGCAACTCATCTTGCAGGAACTCATAGACACTTTGTTGCAAAAACAATTTATACAGACTAGCTTGAGCCCATGTGCGGTGCCCGCGTTGTTGGTGCTGAAGAAGGATGGGAACTGGCGGATGTGTATTGATAGCAGGACTATCAATAAAATAACAGTGAAGTACATATTTCCAGTGCCTCGTATCGAAGAATTGCTTGATCAACTTACAGGAGCGTCTATCTTCTCCAAACTCGACTTACGTAGTGGATACCATCAGATCCGGATACGCCCCGGAGACGAGTGGAAGACTGCTTTTAAAACACCACAAGGGCTTTATGAGTGGAAGGTCATGCCCTTCGGCTTATGCAACGCTCCATCCACTTTTATGAGGATGATGAACGAGATTTTGAAGCCATTTTTGGGAAAGTTTTGCATTGTATATTTTGATGATATTCTAGTCTATAGTAATAGTTGGCACCAACACATACAACATTTGGAAACTCTTTTCGAGATTCTACAACAGCAAAGGTTGTTTATCAACCTTCCTAAGTGTGAGCTTGCAGTTTCAAAGGTACGGTTTCTAGGCTTTATCATATCAGAAGAAGGAGTGAACATGGATCCGCAGAAAGTAGTTGCCATTCTTGATTGGCCTCCGCCAAGATCCTTCTTTGAGGTTCGAAGCTTCCACGGGTTAGCAAATTTTTATCGTAAATTCATTAAAAATTTCAGCCTCATCATGGCACCCGTGACCGACTGTTTAAAAGCTAAAACTTTTTTACTGGGGAGAGGCACAACAACACAGTTTTGAAGCCATTAAAAAGACATTAAGTTCCGCCCCAGTCCTGGCATTACCAAGCTTCGACAAAGTATTCATGGTAGAAACAGATGCTTCTTCCATTGGAATTGGAGCAGTACTATCACAAGAGGGGAAGCCGATAGCATTTTTCAGTGAGAAGTTATCTGATGCTCGCCAAAAATGGTCAGCCTATGAACAGGAACTCTATGCAGTCATTCGGGCACTTAAACAGTGGGAGCCGTATTTATTACACCAAGATTTTGTATTGTGTAGTGACAACAAAGCCTTACAATTTATAAACAGTGAAAGGTCTATAAACCGTATGCAAGCACGTTGGCTTATGTTCATACAAAGATTTTCCTTCACATTTCAACACAAGCCTGGAGTAGCCAACAAAGTGGCTGATGCCCTTAGCAGAAAAAATGTTCTGCTTACCAAATTGCAAATCGAGACCTCTGGATTAGAACATCTAAAAGAATTGTATGAAACAGATCCTGAATTTGGGAGCATTTGGAAGACTTGTCAAGTAGAGCCAAATTTTAAGGGATATTCCATCCGGCACGGGTACCTGTTCAAGCAGAATTTACTGTGCATTCCACTTTCTTCTTGGAGACAACATTTGATACGAGAAGCTCATGCCGGAGGTCTGGCAGCACATGTTGGCCGCGATAACACCTTAAGACACATTCAGTCTCGTTTCTTTTGGCCAAGACTTCGACGGGATGTAATCCGGTTGGTAGAAAGCTGTCCGATTTGTCAAGTCTATAAAGGAGGAGCTCAAAATACATGACTCTATATGCCGCTTCCAGTACCTGATTCAATTTGGGAGGATCTTAGCTTGGATTTTGTTTTGGGATTACCAAGAACTAAACGCGGCAACGACTCCATTATGGTGGTCGTCGACAGGTTTTCGAAGATGGAACACTTTATCCCCTGTAAGAAAACTTCGAATGCCTTGCATATTGCTCATCTCTTCTTTAACGAAATTGTTCGTTTGCACGGTTTGCCTAGGAGCCTTACGTCAGATCGTGACGTCAAATTTATAAGTCATTTTTGGCGAGAATTATGGAAACGTTTGGGCACCGACTTGCGACTCAGTTCGGCGTACCATCCCCAATCAGACGGACAGACTGAGGTCATCAACCGCACTTGTTGACCTCGTTTTTCGCTCGAGCGCTTTCAATCGATTTAATCGGGCATCGTCGAACCTAATCCGAGCTCGAATCGACCCGACTCGAGCCCGATCGGACTCGGACATGTTCGATTAGACTCGATTAATTTGATTTCATAGCGGCCTACTCGATTTGATTTAAATTGATATTTATTTCGGACCCATTTTTGTGTGATTAATTTTATTGAGTTGGCTCGAGCCCGAATCGAGTCGAATTTGGACCCGAGCTTGACCCAATCTCAGTCAATTTTAATCTCATTTAGCTCATTTTGAGCCTATTAGGTGCCCTGTTGACTTTCTATACGTTTTGAATTATTTCCCTAAATCCAGTAATCGCATCGACGGCCACGATCGAGTGAGATCTGCGATTCGGCCGAAATCCCGCGTCTCAGTTGGGTTCCTTTAAAATATATAAAGCTTGACATTCCCTTGGCTTTCTTTTCTATGTGCATACACATGTATTTCTTATTTAATGGGTAGTTACATGAATCGTGGAAGGTTTTGTGAGGCTTACTCTTATGACTTCAATCAAATAGGTGATAAAGCCATGATTTTCATATAAGCTTGTTTTATGTGATTTTTTTGCAAATGTCGCCTATCAAATGATTAAAGTAATGTCTCTAAGAGATCTTACTTGGAATGAAAGAGTTTGAATGCAAGTCTACACTTCTATTGAGAGTCTTTTTTTTGTTATCTTTATTAATGCCATGAAGGATAAGTAGCATGTGGATTTGGAAGAACATTTAGTTGGTAGAGTTGGTTATTTTATCCTTACTCTAGTAATGCGATATTGGAGTCGAACTTTTGCTTAATGATCAATTTCTAAAGTGGTTAGATTCATGCTTTTATGTTGATGAAAGTTGCATAGTTATGGAAAAGTATTCTTAAGGCCCCATGTATATTTGATACAAGCATTATCATTCCTAAACACAACAATGTTCGAATTCTCCCTATCTAGCTCCCAAATAGTGTTATCCCAAATAGTGTTATCCGGAAATTAAACAAATGCAGATTTTGCTGTTTTTAAAGTTTGAAATTGGCTTATTGGAGCGTTTGGCCAATGCAGATTTTGCTGTTTTTAAAGTTGAAATTGCTTTTGGGATTGCTAGGTTGCAGATTTTGTTTGTTTTGAGGTTCAAATTGTTGTCGGAAACAAGTATATGCAATTTTTCATTGGTTTTGAGGTACCGAACTATTTTGGTAACATGTCTTATGCAGCTTTCCTTATTATTTTTGGGTTCCAAATTGTTTTGAACGTGAGTTATATGTAGATTTCTGGCTATTTTATGCTCCAAGCTATTTAAAAAAAATGGGATGTTAACATACTTAGCACCATGAGCAAGTGAAAGATTTATTATATAATTACACTTTGTTAATGCTCACTCAACATAAAAAGATTTAGTGACTTTTCTTAATTCTATTCATGGAAGTATGGTAGGTGAAGGTAAGTGTTAGTGCTTCAAGAATGATATTGGCATCGTGAGTCTCAATTGAAGGATTTCTCATATTTTGTTGTATTTTATGGTCTTGCATGAGAAGAGTTAGATAATTTGCCTTTACTTTTTCTCAACAAAGGTTGTTAGGTGTTTTGGTTTGGAAGAAAATAATAGTAACTACTCGTAACCCTTTTGCAAAGTAATAGTTAGAAGAAGTGTTAAAGCTTTCATGAATTTAAAGTTGAGTTGGTGTTTTTGTAGATTCATACTCTATCTTTGTTTTATGGCGATCTTACCCACTAAGATGGTTATTCAAATATGAGATGGTTAGTTTGTATTAGAGAGTTTCTTAATCTTGTTTTGGAATGGTTTTATGGTCGAAAGCTTTCTTTCGTAAGTCGATTTGTATCTAGTGTCTTTGTCTTAAAGGCTTTTATACGACGTTTTTTTTTATGAAAGCTTTACGATGAGGGGTTGTGTACAACTTCCTTATTGGAGAGCTTCGTGGTTTCTACCCCACTCCAAATGAAAGGAGGCAATTGATTAGTGGTTATTTGGGTAGTGTTTAATTTTGTGTCAAAGAGGAAACTTTGATATAAGATTTTGTAGGGATTTTGTAGAATCTTTGTGTCAAAACAAAATGAAATGAGAAAAGATTTTAGTCAATAATAGCTATAGGGTTTTGTGTAGTGATTCACTTAGAAATGCTTACATGTCATCTTAAGATTTTAAATTTTAGAATTGAGTTGTGTGGAAGGAACTGTCGGTGCTTTCCTATTGTTGAATGAACCTTTTGGTAGTTATTGCTAAGGATGAATTCTTTGAAGTTTAGACTTTAGGGGTTTTATGTTAGATTCTCTTAGAGTCTCTTTCTGTAGATTGGATTTTGGGGCTAAAGTTTTAGGTAGCTTTGGGTTAGAAGCTTTTGGTGTCTTTTTAGAGTAAAATAGTCTTTCCTTACTTAGAGATTAGCTTTCCTTAAGGCTAACTTCTAAAATATATACAATGTCGGATAAATATAAAATAAAAGAGAGTCTAGATTTTGAATTGAGTTTTAGAGGTTGATCTCCTTTTAATTGATATAATATTTGTTCGTAGGGAGTCGTAGGTAGAGGTTAAACATATCAAGTGTCTCGTTTGGAGTGGGAACAACAAAGGGCATTGTTGCTGTTATAGGATGCACTTAACTTCTACGAAGTGTATCCAATAACAACAATGCCCACATCCCTTTTTCGTATACGATTTTCGTTTCTCTTTTTTTCTTTTGCATTTAGTCTCATTTTGCTTTGCCGTTAGCTTTCTTTGTCGTTTCTTTTGTGCTTTGACACTACGCACGTACAAAATGAGGAGAATCTAAAAGACAAGTGGCCCAATAAATAACTAAAAGGTACGTTCTTCTTCTTTTCTTGCACTTCCATTCTTTCATATTATTAACTGCTCATAGAACTGCTCTAATACCTCTCTTTCTGTGTCTTGCGAGGTACCTTTTGGAAAGCAATGAACTAGGAGCACTTGGAACTGGAGCTAGGACAACCGGACCTAAGCATCAGTCGTCCCTACCCATCTGGTAGGGGCGCTACGGGCGGTATACCAGGGCCGGACAGGCCACTCGGCTAGTAGCCCCCGGTGCTGTAAGTTACTAAAACTTAAAAACCTTTAGGGGCCTAGATGATTGTGCGCCTCCCACCCTTAGGTCCTTAGAAATTCAATTATATATTTAGGATTGCTTTTTATTTTTTTTTTAGATCCCTAAAATCTTGTGACATCCGTATAGAAGTCTTAGGAATTAGAAGAGAACGACACTTTTAATCCCACAACATTAATGACACCTAAGGACAAAAATTAAGGACCGAGTCTTAGAAAACATAGACTTAGGGTGCATGTTCCTTATAGGATAGAGACTTTAAAACAAAAAAAATCTAGTGACACGTTTCCTAGATTTGGATTTCTTTTTCTAATTCATTAATAATCAACTAACCAATTTTAATTCTAATTTCTAAAACTCATTAAAACATTTAATTCTAATCAATTTATTATTAACCTTTATAATTATTGAATTCAATAAGTCTAAGAATGTAATCTTAAATAATTCTAACTAATCTAATAATTAACTTTTAACCACCTAAAATCTAAAAGAAGTAGATTTATTAGGGAATCAAATTCTAATCTAAAATCCATTAGGATAAAACACTTCTAATATCTAACCTTAAATATAATTTCTAAAATCAATCAACAAATATGATAATAAAATATTTAATCTACCTTTTTCTTCTCTTTTTAACAAATTAAATAATCCAACAAAGTTTAATTGATCACTGGGTAACCCAGGCCTGCGAGGCTATTAAGTTAGCCCAAGGAGGGAGAATAAACCTCACGGTCTCGGTGTGAAACAAAGGTGGTAATTATTAAACATTAAAAATAAAATATACCTAAAATCGACCCTAAAACACTAAGACTTGGATTTTAACTAAAATTTCCTTTGCCCTTTTTTTAACAAATAAAATACAAACAACTCTAACTAAATCATCCTATATAGAACCTACCAAAGCCACACAGCCGACACACACATAGATGAGTTTGCTAGGACACGACTATTAGCTTTAGGTTAGGCTGTTGTGCTGCTTTACTTTTTCTGTACTTTGTTGTGACGCTCTGCATGTGACCTGTGTGCTGGTGTTGTTTTTGCTACCTGTTGTAGCTTTTCTGCTATGTTATTTTCGTACTGCTTTCTCTTAGCTTTTCCTGCTGCACCGTGGTTGTGACGTTAGAATACCCATAGGTTAGGCACGCTCTTTTATACTAATGTTGTCTTCCTGCAGGTGGCCGTGCTCATATAATGCTGCTAAAAGGGGCTAAAAATTAATAAATTATGTATAACTGCTTTAGGTACCTGCTTCAGCTGCTTAGCCCCCCAATAATCAGAGCACGGCCAAGTGTGATTTAATTTCAGCATTTATATATATATAACTGCTTGGGTAAAATTTTATTATAACTGCTTAGGATAACCCCTGCAGGAGAGTCTAGATTTTCTATTTTTCATACATGTAACATGTATTTGATAGTTATATTTATGAAAATCATTAAAAGGGCATTTTAAATGAGTAGAAGTTCAAAGGGAAAAGTAAACCCCTATAGGGGGTTTCCTTTTTCATTTGGACATCCTTTTGGAGCATTCACTACAAG